GCAGGGTTGAGGCGAGTGCTCCAGGTTGATCCTCACGGATCCATTCTTCCAGCTGGATGGGGCTCCCTAAAATTCACTTTGCTCCCTAAAAACCCACTGGTGCTGGTGGAAAAGGTGTCTTCCCTGACTGGGAACTTGAGGGGAATTAACCAAGGTTTCAGGTTGATCCTCACGGATCCATTCTTCCAGCTGGATGGGGCTCCCTAAAATTCACTTTGCTCCCTAAAAACCTGCTGGTGCTGGTGGAAAAAGTGTCTTCCCTGGCTGGGGAGTTAAGGGGAATTAACCAAGGTTTCAGGTTGATCCTCATGGATCCATTCTTCCAGTTGGATGGGGCTCCCTAAAAACCCACTGGTGCTGGTGGAAAAGTTGTCTTCCCTGGCTGGGAACTTGAGAGGAATTAACCCAGGCAGGGTTGGGTTGAGGGGAGTGCTCCAGGTTGATCCTTAGGGATCCATTCTTCCAGTTGGACAGGGCTCCCTAAAATTCGCTTTACTCCCTAAAAACCCTCTCATGATGGTGGAAAAGGTGTCTTCCCTGGCTGGGAACTTGAGGGGAATTAATCAAGGTTTCAGGTTGATCCTCACGGATCCATTCTTCCAGCTGGATGGGGCTCCCTAAAATTCACTTTGCTCCCTAAAAACCCTGTCACGATGGTGGAAAAGTTGTCTTCCCTGGCTGGGAACTTGAGAGGAATTAACCAAGGTTTCAGGTTGATCCTCACGGATCCATTCTTCCAGTTGGACGGGGCTCCCCAAAATTCGCTTAGCTCCCTAAAAACCCTGTCACGATGGTGGAAAAGTGTCTTCCCTGACTGGGGAGTTAACCAAGGCAGGGTTGAGGGGAGTGCTCCAGGTTGATCCCTACGGATCCATTCTTCCAGTTGGATGGGGCTCCCAAAAATTCGCTTAGCCTCCTAAAAACTCTCTCATGATGGTGGAAAAGTTGTCTTCCCTGGCTGGGAACTTGAGAGGAATTAACCCAGGCAGGGTTGAGGCGAGTGCTCCAGGTTGATCCTCACGGATCCATTCTTCCAGCTGGATGGGGCTCCCTAAAATTCACTTTGC